GGCTAAGATGAATCTTTTAGCATAATAACAACTTTTTTATTTGTAGAAAAAAAACAACATACCATGTAATTTAATAAACTGTATATAAATAAGATTTTGCAATTTTAAACAAAACTTAAATTTGATATATCTAAACAAAACTATTATGAATGTTTAGGATTAATATTTTTATGTGTGTATTTGATATAGTTATACCATATTATTCAATAACGTGCTAATGCTACAAAATATTCTATGGCTTTGGTTTTAGAGTATGATAGTTAGTTCGTTTGTTAACTGTTCCAAAAAATTGATTAAAAATTCAACCAAAAAAATAATATAGAAAAGTGAGAGAGGGAAATATGTCCAAACTCACGAAATAAGTATAATAGACAAACTAAAAAAAATATTTTGTATACAGTTTTGTTAAATTACCTGGTATGTTTATTTCCTACAAATAAAAAAAATGTTATTATGCTAAAAGATTCTTCCTAGCCATGTATTATCCATGTTACAAAAAAATATCAAATTAACATCGAACTTTTTATTAGCAGTAATAATAACATTTTTTATAAATAATATATCAAGTTTAATGATATAATATATATCCAAGATATATCTTTTAGACAAAAATAAAATTTTGCAATTCTTCTAGGTTATATTCGTTCAAAAGATAATAGATCAGATAATATTTTTTAGTGTATACATGTGTACTTTCTTTTTCGGCGTAATAAAAAAGTACCTTATATATTTGGTCTTGAAGATTATAACCAATTTTAAAGTTGAGTTTATTTTGAAAAAAAAAACATTTTAGGTCTAAAACGGAAAAAACTACAAAATATAGAGTCTTTTTTTATAAATATACATGGACAAAGAATTTTACAATCATAAATAAATGTAGGCATAATAATTATATTGTTTAAATCGATGTATATTTTTAAACTAAAAGGATATAATCACTTTTTTTTATACAACTAGTCTTGAAATAAAAAATATTTTAGGTCTAAACTGGAAAAAAGTACAAAATGTTGGGTCTTTTATGAAATAAAAATACTTAATTTACCTATTAGGGTCTAAAGTAACAAGTAAAAGGTAAAAGTTTGGTCTTTTTCGGAAAAGAAAAAACTTTTAGGTCTAAAAAGAAAAAAAATCAAAATGTAGGGTCTTTTATGGAAATAACCCTTTTCAATATAATAAACTATTTTCCTTTCTTTTGATCCTATAGATACATAGTCACTGTTGGGAATTGTGTAACAAGTGCTTTTACTGAACATTTTTGTAGATGCAAAGGTTTTGTGCTCTCTGGTAAAACAATGGCTACAAGATTTATGAGATGAAAGTAACCCAATGGACATCAAAAGTCGATTTGTTGCAACACATATGTTCATGTGCAGGATGTTATGGTTAAATTAATCTGTTTGTTTAGTGTTCAACATGACTAGGTTATCAATTAAACTTATTTCAGTTATTACCATGTTCCACATTGGCCATTTCTGGTTTTGGTTGTTTTGATGTTTATAAACAACTTATTGGTGTAACTTATTTAAATCTTGAACCATTAAAATGGATTTTTATCTTGCTTTTAATATAGCTACTAAATTCTCAGATTATACAAAGCAAGTTTACAGATTTATTTTGGTATGGTACGTCCTTTAGGATATACTTATGGTTATATAATGCAAGCTTGCAATAAGTGTGTTATTTCACTTACTATTAACATCAACAATGCGATAATACTCAAGTCTCTCTTATAAATATTTAGAATTTCTATGAAGATCTCTTCGAGGAGCTGAACAAGTACAGGGAAATCAAAAGCTTGAATGTTTGTGACAACCTTGCTGACCACATGGTAAATCTCTTACCAAACTAATTACCCACCTTACATCTCCTTAAACATTTTATGATAATCCATTCCCTTCACAGGTGGGAAATATATACATTCAGTTTAGGGAAGAGGAATATGTTGCAAAAGCCCTCAAGAATCTCACTGGAAGATATTACGCAGGTATGCTCTTCTTTTTCATTTCTTGTATCAAAATCTTTCAACCATAACTCTTATGTCATATAAACATCCCTAAAGCCACTCTTCAGGTTGACCCATCATTGTTGACTTCTCACCCGTGACTGATTTTCTGGGAAGCAACTTGCAGACAATATGAAGAAAACAAGTCTTATTAATGCCCTCCTTTCATTACTACACAAAGTTGCGGCATGTCACCTCTCCTATTGACTTCAACATCATTGACAAAACCAACTTTAGGTCTTTAAGCGAAGGTACTTTCATTTATTCTCTTTACCTAAACCATAGCTATTTTCAATTTTTCATTATCCTTCAATGTTACACATTGTCAACTTTATATCATATAGGCATCCTACTTTCAGTTATGACAATTTACTTTCATTTAAATGACATTCAAGTAATTTAGACTTTACATCATGTTTCTTAACTATTACCATCACATCGGTTGCCAAATATTACACACGTTCACTTGTCTTACTCTCACTTAAGGCAACCTACTTTTAATAATAGCAATATACTTTCCTTTCATGAAAGTCTTTACATAAAAATGTTCCACTTCTTGGTGTTTTATCACATGGTTAATTATAGGGACTCCCTTTTTTGTTGTCCCATCTTCTTCCAATGAAGTGGATGATATCGACCAGAGTTAAATAACCAAGGTCAGTGAATGTCTGCATTTTCTGGTTCATGTTTTTTCAATTTTAATATGAAAATTGGTATGACTTTGTAGTATTCCAAGGGATTTGCAGTGCCCTGTACTTTCTAGACCAGGGATTGGTTTGCTCATCCAAATGTACACATATACTATGAGAAAAACACCATTCAAGTGTTATTACCTACTTCTGCCGCAATGCTTCTTAGGGTGGGTCCCACTTCATATAGTCCACAAGAAATGGGAATTTTAACCAAATGTCTCATATATCACCAATCTAAATGATCAATAATTTATCTCTTTCTTAATGGTTTCCGTTAATTCTTGTGACTCCTACAGAGGTTCGCAGTATCAGAAGAAATGACACATGTCCCTGATGTTAGCCGATCATTTGACTCTACAGAAGCTAAGGATATAAAAGATCCCATAAAAGCCTCTTTGCTTGAGGTTAGATTTTTCTTTGATTATCAACTCATACAGTACCAATATGTCTTAAAATAGTTGGGTTTTTTTATATTCTTTTACATTTTTATATTCTATTATTTTGCTCAGACTGAAGTACACGACTATAATCCCTAACCACACAAAATGGGATTTCATCAAAAACTAAACATGCTTGTGAAAGAAAGCTTGCATTTTCGGTAGATATCTTATCCTTTTAGCATTAAGTTTTGCTTGGATTACATCAAGTCCATGAATCATGACTCATGACACCTAGCTATACATATCCAGGTCATTACCTAACAAATCAGAAGAGTTACCTCATGAACTTAAATCAACTCAAGGAGAATCTTTATCTGAGCATGGACCTACAAAGCAAGCAAAGGGTATTGTAGTCTTTGAAGAGAAAACATAGATGGAAATCCGACATATGGACTTGAAATCTAGACAAGATAAAATCACAACACGTATAACAGAGGAGTGGGAACAACTAATTGTCAATGAAATTCCTAATACCAAATCTTCCACTTGTGTTTCCAAACCAAAGTTGGAGCAGTTGGCTTTTACTAATTATGGTGGTCTTTTACTCTTTTGCCCTTCCATACATTGTTGTAGTAGAAATATGTAATTCATCATCAATTGTTATACAAACAATTAATGATTTTTCATAACCAACCTCATTAACAAGGTTAAATTGGTACTTTCGATGAAGAATTTATTGAAAAGTGAAAATTTGTGTTTTTATCTTTTTAAATTTACAATTTTTCCCTCATCTAATTTTGGACTTGATGCAATAAAAAATGTGATTTTATTTATTTTTGTTTTATAATATCCAAATTCCTATTCTCATTTATTTCCATTACAACATTTTACTTTCATATTTTTTTCATCAAGGGTATTGTAGTTCAAAAATTCGACACAATCATGACATTCTACTTCCAATTTTTTTTTATGTGGATTGCATTTAATTGAATTCAAATGGAACACCTTCATCTTCATTCAAAGGCTCTCATTCTGATAATAACAATCACGAGAGACTTAATACGGTCATTTGACAATTGTCATATTTTAAACAAATGTATAAATAGGGATGGGGGCAAAATGGTAATTCGTCTTTGAAAATAATAACATTGTACTTATTTTCAATAAAAATTATGTTATTTTCTTATTTAAGCATTGTACTTCTAAATATAGCATCATACTTTCATTTTTAATTCATATTTTCGAAAAAAAATTATGTTTTTTTTTCTTATTAAACCATTGTACTTTCAAAGTAAAATGGTTAAATAAGAAAATAAAACAAAAAATTAAAAAAATGAAGATTTAGAAATGAATGTTAAATATATAATTAGACAAACAAAAAAAGTACATTCACAAATCACAATTGGAGGGGGGGGGGGGGGGCATAACGGTCATTCGACAATTGTCATATTTTAAACAACTATATAAATTGGGATGGGGGAAAAATGGTAATTCGTCTTTGAAAATAATAGCATTGTACCCCTCCTGCATCATTTTTGATATTGGACCATTTTACCCCTCCTCCCCCATTTGTATTGTAATGTTTTTGTGTTGTTGTATCTTGTTTGATCCACACTTTCAATCATATTTTGAACCCATTAAAGTGCTTAATAGCTTAAGCACTTAGTCATGAAACTTTTTTGTTGGAAATAATAACATTGTACTTATTTTCAATAAAAATAAGATAAATAAATATTATTTTTTATATATTTGTCAACCTGTCCGTCGGAGGTATGACAATAGTTAGATTAATAAGATTAGGGAGTAGACGATAATTTTACCTTTTATATATGGACTACGGTTACAAAACAATACAACTGTGACATGTTCCTGGTTTCATTAAGTTAACTCACCATTTTCCGCCCGCTTGCCTTAGTTTTTTCACCCATGCCTTCTGAAATCAAACGACATCTCAATTTACCATCGGTCTTCAACATCAGTCTCCACTTCCACCACCGCTCGACCCCTTCGACCAATGCACCGCCTCCAATCATGGCTTCTGAAATAAAACGAAATCCCTTCATTCATGATGTCTTCAATGGCAATGTCCTCCTTCACCGCCCTTCGCGACTACATTCCAAGCGACCTCTGTTGGACATATTCGTCGTTTACAACCGTCATTTGCTATTGTCGTCTGTCGGCTACACATGTTCTCTCTATAGGTCCAGTTCTCTTCTATGGTTCTCTTCTTTCTTCGTTCGTTCTCCCTCACTGCTCGGTGCTTTGCACTACAAAGATTTTTATCGAATTTTAATTTAAGGTTAGACAAGATGGATTTGGGGATTTGGGTATTAGAACTAGGGTTTGGGATGAGGAGGTATCTCCTCGTTGATTTGATTTGAGATCATAATGAACGATCTTGGATTATGGGTTTTGTTTTTCAGGTTTGAAACAACTTTAATTGACTTACCTTCCCCTCATTACCTGGTAATTTCTCAAATCTTGTTGTGTGCTGTATATAAATTTCTAATCTATTCTAGTGACAAGTCTCGAGGCAACATTAAAATAGAAAAAAATAGTACTTTTTTTAGATGATCCAAAGTAGAATAAGGCTTTGTATATATTTTTTGAATCCAGGAACGAATGATTCTTTTGTCCAAATTCACTAACAATTATTTTTGTATGGGTCATGGAGAAGCAAGCGTGAAACTACACAAGGGTATGAATGGTTCTTTTTATCAAATTCCTTTTCATTTGTATCTCAATCTCCTACTCTGAATTCCCCCCACCCCCTCAGTGGAACTTTGACAACCAGATCTGGATTTGGTTGTCTTTGATTTACTAATCACAAATATATCATCAATCCGTTTTTAATAGTCAATATTCTAGTTTTTAATAGTCACAATTCTTATTTTTGGCAGAATGTATAATATAACTAATTTGTTTAGCCTTTGCAGTTATTTTTACAAAATGCTAATCATTATAGGTTTTAATTTGTTTTTAACAGAATTTTTAGCAATAATATATGTTTTAACAGTCATATTTATTTGATTTACTTACTAATTTACCTTTAGTATATATGTTTCTTATTAGTCACAGCTCACAAGTATTTGTTTTTGGTAAGATTGTTAGCAGTAATATGTTTAATATATAATTTACCGATCCTATATTTTAAGATTAATTGATTGTTGGAGTTTGATGAAGAAGTGTTAAAGGCTATTGTGAATTGTTCTAATAGAAGTCAACAGAAGCTTCTATTAGGTGTTTGTTGAAATGATGTTTGAAGAATTTTGTTGATTCTAGTTTTAATAAAAGTAATGAAAAACCTTGTGTGTTTTCATAATTTAATTGAAGTCTATCAGATTTGTAAAATTCAGATTATGGTCAAACTTGCATCATTTAATTGAAGTCTGTTTGAGTTATATTATTTAGAGCTAAATATTTGGTACATTAGAAATTTTTTCTTTGTAGTATGTGTAATTATTTTATATTTTTATTGTAATTTCTTTCATTGAGAGACTCTATTATGAAATCACTGATAGAGTTATCATACAGGTAGAAGATGATACATTTGTTATCAATGGAAGGAAATGGTGGGCAAATGGAGCCTATTTTGGTAAATTTTGAAGCATAAAATCAATTGATTATTTTTCCTCATATGTATTGATAAATTGTACCTTTATTTTCTGGACCTTGGTTTATTAATTTATTATGTCTCCCTTAAAGTATTTGACAAAATTTGTGACATGTTAATGCAGGTGAAAACCTACTTCAAATTCTTAATTGATAAATAACAATCCATCATTCTTGTAGATGTCAACATGTATGTAACATACCAACCTTCAACTTCATAGTATTTTTTATTTGGTGTTAATATTTTCTTTTATGTATTTTTTAGGATGTGTAAAGATGAGCCAATTAAGGTTGTAAGAATGTCGAATAACAAATGTTTTGGCTCAAATCGACCTGGTTCACCAATATTATCAGTTTATTTCTCCATCAATATTAATTTCTTGAAATTGTTTCATTTACAGGTTCGTTGTTGCCAATTTCATATCTCACACTAATAAACTCAAGTGTTACCTCGTGGAAGCAGTTCATTAGGAAAGGAATTAGTTAAAGATGAATGTAATTTGAATAAATCAAAATAATGTACTTTGGCCAGTTTGTTTATGCAAAACATGTTATTTAGTATTGGATGTTTCATTGTAAAACATGTTTATTTAATTAAAAATATATAAATAAAATACTATTTTTTACTCTGAATTTTATGACATAGTTTGATTACAGATGAGGGATATGATAGAGTTGGTATTCTATAGAATACATCCTTTTGGCGCCTTATTAAATGTTACAGCTAGAATATTGTTTTTTAAACAATAGTTTATTAGATTATGAAAGTTAATTGAAAGGAAACAATCGTTTATTATTGGTTCCAAAACTGATTGTGGAAGTTACAAAAAAGTTGGTTTAGTCATTTACTTGTTTGTCCTTCAAGCTTTTATTAAAATTCAAAATTTAAATATTATATATAATTGAAATTGATGTGTAAATTTTTATCTATATAGGAGAGATGGATAGATTTTAATTGCGTAGAATCAATTTTGAATATAAGATCTTAATTGAATGGAAAGTAGTTTTAATCGGATGTTGTGCTGTAGGGGTGAGAAAAACTGAACCGACTAAAAATAAACCGACAAAACCGCAACAAACCGCAACCAACAAACCGAAACCGATGCAAAAACCAATGGTGCAGATTTCATTTTTTCAAAAACCGAAGGTCTACGGGTCGGTGCGGTTTTTACCAAGAAACCAGTCCATCAAAACCGAACCGCACCGAAAATCTATAAAATAATAAATCACTAATTTTTATTTATATTCTATAATATATACATATTTTTTAAAATACTAAGAAATATTAATACATATTATATTTGGACTTTAGAATTTGATAGTTAGTTTTAGCCAATTTAATCGGGATTCCAAATCATTATCCAAACTTATTTTCTATTTTGTTTTTATTTTTGTAGTTAAAACCACAACAGAGTAGGTCACTAATTATCTATATGTTATAAGGTTATAACAAGTAAACGAAAATTCAATTTTTTTTCTTAGTCAACCTTTGTATATAAAGTCACTTAGAACTTTTGATTTATATAATTTATTTTGTACTGAAAATAAACCTTCACAAATAAACAGTTTCAAAAAATGAAAAAATTGCACCACACAAGCTTACATCCACACTGTTATCGTGTTTTTTTAAAAAAAAAAATACTCCAAAAAACATCAAAGACCACACCAAATTTTAGAGTCGGTTTAAAACCGAAACCCGATACAAATCGAAACCGCATTTAGAAACCGCAAAACCGAACCATTGGAAAACCGCACCCAACGGTTTTAAGAATACAAAAACCGCACCTTGCGGTTCGGTTTGGCTTTAAAACCGCACCATGCTCATCCCTTGTGCAGAAGTTTTTAAACTGCAATATGTATATTAAAACTGATCCTGTAAAGGAGGAGTTATTAATTTTGTAAATTACTCAAATAACCTTTATACATAATTTAAGTATTTTTAATTAAAACTATATGGATAATGATGTGTTCCATCCTTTTTGATTGTTTTCATTTTCATATGATATTTGTATTTTCGCATGAGCCTTCCTCTCTCTCTCTCTCTCTATATATATATATATATATATATATATATATTATATATATATATATATATATATATAGATATATATATATATATATCTCCTTTAATAAACAAAACCTTTAAATGCCACTGTCGCATTTCTAATAGACAATTGACACGTGGCAATTTTTAAGAAATTCCTAATTTTTAATTTTTTTTTTGTATTTCCTTATTTTCCGGAAAATATTTATGAGGAATTCAAAATTCAAAATTCTAAGTTTCCATTTTTTTTTTGGTAATTTTAAAAATCTTTCATTTAAAATTTTAAAAAACATCCTAAACCTAATAACATAAATTTATCGAAAAACTAAGAAGTATTTATAATGAATTTTCAATTTTTCCCTTTTTTTTTTCGGGTAAGGGGTAAACCATCTTGATTTAAAAATTCTTATACCTCCTCTAATCCAATTTCATGCTTCTTATTTAAAGTTTGAATTTAATCCCTATATTTTGTTAGTGTACCAGCATAAGTCCATGTAATTTTTTTTTTCCAATAACTTTTTACACATGTAATTATTTTTTTTTATCTTTAAATAATTATCAAAAATTATATTAGTTTACTTTCAATCACAAATATGTTTACAGCTTTTTTTTAACACAATAAATTATTATTGTTAAATTTTAGTTTACAAAATTTATATGCTGCTTTATCCAGAAAAAATGAACATATAATGATTAAAGTATTGATTTTAGATAAAAATTGTAATTTAACCAATAAAAAGTCAAATAACAAAACGTCAAATGATATATACAAAGAAGTGTTTCAAAATGTAATTTAAAAGATTTTCTTTTTTACTTATCAAATTCATCCGGGCTTTACTTACAATCTGAAATACATTACTTTTTATTATGTTGACATTTAATCTTATTTTTGTCTATATAATAAAAACTTTGAACATAACTATTATGGTTTCCACGGGTTATAACCTCTATATATATATATATATATATATATATATATATAGATATATATATATATATATATATTATATAGGATAACATTACTTTCAGTGAGGATCGTGAAGACAAATCTAGACCTTTAACAATTAAATATATATATATATATATAGGATAACATTAGTTTCAGTGAGGATCGTGAAGACAAATCTAGACCTTTAACAATTAAAAACAAATGACTGGGATTTGATTTAAAAATTTGGTTAAATTAAAAAAATCGCACGGTGGCATTTTGATGATTATCGCCAACTTTTTGCAATCTTCCAGCTAAGTGCTTAAAGTTCAGGGTCATAACTCATAACTGTCAAATACTCCAAAAGTCACACGCCTCACGTAAGAATTCAAATGGAGATAGACGTGCTTCACTGTCAGACACGGCACCTTATTATTGGTTTATTTTATTTTATTTTTCAATCCAATTCGTTTTTTTCATCATAATTTTTTTTTTCTTTGACAAAAAAATCTGAAAAAACCAACTTTTTAAAATTTAATTCTCTACGAAACAAGCACAATAATGAAAAATTAAAAAATATATATATTTTATTTTTTTTATAAAAAATCCAGAAAAAAATTCTCCAAAAATCATAAAACTTTAAAGGATACTTCTACTCAATATACCAGTGACTTTATAAAAAAAATTTAAAAATAAGTTTTTGAAGTATTTATTTTTAATTTTAAGAAATAGAAATTTAAAAAAAAAATGTTGAACATAATATGATCCAAAATATGATGATCCAAAATATTAAAAAA